TATAATGTAAGAGAAAGAAAAAACAAAGACAGTGCGAAGCAATTACTTGAGCGGGAATCATTACCTTTTTTGAATAATAGCATTTCACAGCCTAAAAAATGGGTAGTTTCTCAGTCTAGTTTTATGATAGAATAAATCACAATTTACTAATTAATTAACATCTACTTAATTTAGTTAATTTGTCTTTTAAAATGGAAAAAATTTGAATAATATTTATTTTCCATAAATATTTACATTTTACATGGACAAAATACTGAATATGTGCATAATATGTTGAAAATGCAAAACTGTGTCTGTGGTGAGTGTTTGAGCTGGTGACTATTTTTAGTCCCATCCTGCCCTTTGATATCCACAGCTGTAATGAATGGATTATTGTGATTTCATTAGTGTACTTTAAGTGACCTGTATTTATGTGAAATAACAGATTTCAACCAGCAGAGAGAGACATTAAGCTGTTAGGGGTGGAAATGTAGGTTCACATTTTTATTATCTCTTTGGTATGTAAAAGCAAGACAAGTAAGCTTGGGTTGGGTATAAATTCTAGAGATTGGTGTCAATATATTTAATCTCATGTCTCAAAATAATGTATTGCTTATTTGTTTGGTTAAAAAATGTAAAAATAACCATAATATTTCAATATGTTTTCCATAAGTGTAAATAGATTTCAGATGTCAACAATGATATTCGCAAGTCTTATTGATTGTTCTTTCTATGTTATAATAAATTATAGAAACTGTTTTGAAAAGCAGAGGAAATTGCAAAACTTAAAATCATAAAGAAGACATTTCATTTATCAAAGACACTACTTTTACATTATACTATAAATTAGAAAAACTGTCAAAATCTATGTCAGGAAAAATGCACTTTGGGAAATAACACTTAAAGGGGAAAAACACAATTGGAAAACCAAAAAACACAAAGGGTAAAAAGGATATAAATAATCCTGCTATTAATCACTATCCTATGAGGAAGTTGGCTGTATTTGCATCTTTTCAGTGTTCGGTTTATTAAAAGAATTATGCAAAGCAGGTAACAGGAATAATTCCCTTAGACTGTACTAAATACATACTGTGCAATTACTGTCTATTTTTGTCTTTTGTTTGTACTGTCAAGGATGAAAAGGGATTTTTAGTGTAAAATAGATTTACATTTTAATTCTCTACTTTAAAATGTGTTCTGTTTAATTTCATTTTTGTGAGCAAAAAAGCAACAACTATCATGCATGTTTACCATGACCTGCAGAAGACACGTACACACATTTTAAAATTCCATTCATTGTCACAAATGCTTTCAAACCAGAAAATCTTGTCAGGCATGTTCATAACTACAATCATTTAATGATTAAAATACTCAGTTCAGCTCCAAAATACAAATTCATTTTAATTTTGAATTTTTATTCTGTGCAACTATTCTTCAAAACAATCGGTTTCACCAATTTGTCTGCAATAGTTTGAAATATGAAAGCATTTCGTATGATAATCACCTAATATATGTTAGTAAGTAAAGTTCAGAATAAAAGTGGTTTCATTTTTGCGTAAATATAATCTGGTAATTATATAAGTTATAGTCTGGTAATTAACATTATTTTCTTCCTCTAGTCATACAGCTTTTTGTTTTTGTTTTGTGTGTTTGAGAAAATCCCCCAGAATAACCATACCAAATTGATTGCATCTGTATTATCATGTGTGAGCATGTTTACATTGTGCATTGTCACTGTAAACTGTTCTCACCGACCTTATGTTTCTTTTCTGCTTTGAGCAAAGTCACTTTACCCACTTGGATAGAATAACAGGCCTTTGGCAAAACCATACTGCATTGCTTTCCCCATTTTAAACCTGCAAGCAAAATCTAAGAACAAACTGATTTGAAGTCAACATAATCAAATAATACAAAATCAGGCAAAGTTAGTTTTTGAGCTCATTTTGCCAAATCAAACATTTGCTTTTTTGATTAAACGTTTTTTAAATTACCATTGGTTCCTGCAATGACGTAACAGCCCTAGCTTTTTGACAAGTCATTTTTTCTATTTAGTCTGTCGAAATCAGACATACAGGAGTACAAACTTAATCACAGAGGAACTAGATGAAAAATAACTTCACTGTGAGCATACACTGTTAACAATTTTCTGCAGAATTCACAGTAATATACTGTCAGAAGTTCACTGGTAACTTACAGTTAATCAATTACAGAAAAATAACTGTATTTACTTTTACAGCACCATGTATCCTTTTGCATATGTATTTACAGAATTGAACGTATATCTTTAATACAGTCATTCAGAAAGCAACTTTAAAATACAGTAACATACTGCATAACTGTCCTACACTCTCGGAAATAAAGGTACAAGAGCTTTCACTGGGGTGGTACATTTTCAAAAGGTACACATTTGTACTTAAAGGGCCCATATTGGTATCTCAAAGGTATATGTTAGTATCTAAAACATTTCAAGAGGTACACTTTTGTACTTTCTAGGTATTAATATGTACCCTTGAGGTATTAATAAGGATACTTTAGTTACAAATGGTGTCTCCCCAGTGACAGCTCTCGTACCTTTATTTCTGAGAGTGTACAATAAAATAAAGTTCATATTATAGTTAAACATTGTGCAAATTATAGAAATTGTTAACAGTGAATAGACATTTAACCCTACACTGCAAAAACTGCTCTTCTTATATATTGTTTGTTTTGTTTCTAGACCAAATATCTAAAAACTCTTGAATCAATTAGCATTTTCTTGTTTTTTTCTTGTTTTTAGAAATAAAAAGTCAACAGTTAAGTGAGTTTTTTCCTTAAAACAAGCTAAATAATCTGCTAATGGTGTATAAGCAATAATAATCAATAAATAATCTTATTTTAAAGCAAAAACAAAATCAGTTTGCTTACCCCATTGGCAGACATGCTTGTTTTAAATGGAAAACTCACTTAGAGGTGCAGTATGTAAGTTTTACACCCAGTGGTTAAACTAGGTATTGCATTCCTGGATCAAAACAAACTCAAGGGCAGGTTGCCAGACTGTGGACCAAAAGGAGCGAGTTTGACGATCGAGCCTAAAGTCTGATTTAAATCATGTTCTAAATAAAAACAACGGCATGTGATAGAAGAAATATTCTCCAGTAGTTTTTGTTCTTATGAACACCTCGAATCGATATATTAGAAATGGCTTCCATTTCTCACAGGTGAACAACAGAAAACTGACAGTGATCACCTCAGGTACACCTCATGTGCTTTATTCAGTGTTAAATGCTAACAATGTGAGTTTGAATGCCATTTTACAAAACATTTATCGTCGTACTATTGAAAGCAGTTTACCTTCGATCTTGAAAATAAAATAAACTGTTTAAAATTGAACCGTAGAACTGAGACTCAAAACCAACATATATTAGTGATTCAGCATCTATATTCAATAAAGTTAAAAAGGTTTAATATGCATCAATTGGATTAGAAAACTTACCATTTCTTGAGTAAGTGCATATTCTGCGCTTCTCAATGGCTGTATTTAAATTTCTGTCGTGTTTTATCTGGTGCAAACAGCCAAATACCCTATCACTGCAAATCTTGTCATGTAGCGTGTTGTTAGGACATGTAACCTGCTCATCTAATGTTTACCTTTCAGAATATTTTTATTTTTTGCTAATTAATAACGTAATGTGGAATCTGCATCTAATTTTGGAGTCTGCTACTGTCAACCGGAGGTCACATTTTGGTCACTGATGCATGCTTTGAGAGCCTTTCTGAATGAATAAATGAAATACGCTGTTTTTCAACAAGGCAACCTGTGCTGCTGAAATAGAATTGGTTTAAGTGACATTGGGTGGGTTAAAAGAACCAAAACAAAGACAGCGTTCCAGCATGTAACTCACATTTTCAAAGCAGAATATCTGACTTCAGCATTGTTTTTCAGATAAACAAGATTGCTCACTTGGCATGTTTCTCAAATATCTGCTAACATAAAATGGTATTTTTATGCTTTAAAAGAGTCAAAAACTTACATACAGCATCTTTAATTTTGATTTATTCAATTTCTAAAAACAAAATAATGCTTTACTTGTCTAGAAAGTGCTTCTTGATTTAAGAATTTTTAGATATTTGGACATGATTAAAACATGATTAAAAAACTAAGTAAGAAAAGCATTTTTTTTTTTTGCAGTGTAAAAACTTTTATTCCTCGACCACAGCCCTGCAGGACTTGAAACTCTCGGACTGAAGTTCATTCTCTTTTTTCAGCTTTATATTTTCAGCACTGAATAACTAGTGACAGCTGCAGAAAATGCACAGCTGTAAATCACACACCCCTAACAATGAAATATCTGTTGGCGATGAAATTCAATGTAGGTAATAATAATTTCAAATGCTTTCCCAGATCACATTATCTGTTCTGTGGCTAAGCGTTTTGACTCAGAAGAGTTTCGAGTGTTTGTCATAAGGGCTTTTTTTGTATATCCAGAATTCAATATGATCCAGTGATCATATATTATATAAAACAAATTGAAAAAGAGGGAAAAAATATTAAAACTTGACGGAAAACTTGTTTATTTGCAATGTTTTGCTGCTCTGTTTAATAAAGGAATTAAGGAAAACCAATAAATTCTCAACTAATTGCATATAAATGTTTCTGAAATCATATTTGCAGCCTATTTTCTGTCTGGCTAAGTAGTTTAACAGTCAGTGTATTTTTGGGTCAAAGACAAAAAAGTTAGTTTTGGTTGCTTCTGAATGTATCCATTTTAAAATCTCTTTGTCTGAGAGAAAAAAAGGCTACAACACATTTTTAGCATGTTTTTTGGTTCAATTAATCCCTGCTGGTCCTAACTTCTTTTTTCCCATGCTCTTTATTTTCAGCTTTGGAATAACTAGTGACAGCTGTTGAAAATGCATGTCTATAAATCTTAACAATTCATATGAAATCTGAATATGAAGCTTGACTTATGTGGCCAAGTTTTGGTGACTCATACTTTCGAGAGTGTATAATAAAGACTTCCCTTCGTTTGTGTGTGTTGTAGTGCTAATGCGGTGAGCAGTCGAGATGGTCTGGACACAGAGACAGGAACAGAGTCTCTCCAGAGCCAGCGGAGGGAGCGCGAGAGGGATCGAGCTCACAGGAGGACAAGAGAAGGTGAATGTGAGTCAAGAATATTGACAAAACGCACAGTTCACTTTGTACAATGTATGTATATATATATATATATATATATATATATATATATATATATATATATATATATATATAT